ATGGCTCTCCACACCAACGGCATGCACCACTATGTACCCCACACCCCATACGCTCCCCCAGAAAAAGGGTCTACTGTGCCCTTACAAGGATAGAGAAAAGGGGGAGCTTTCCTTTTGTATTTCCAAAGCAATGCCAGGAGAGGCCTGCAAAGTTCCCGTTGACAAAGAGCTGACGGAGTTGTGGTCGGTACTTAACGAAGATGCTACATGCAGACAATGTTTCGGAAACACTTAAGTGCCTCAGTGATGAAGTGATCGTTGCACATACACGTGTTGGGGACAGCGGTGAGAGCGGCAACTGCAACGATGTGGCTGAGCAGGCTATCCAGGCGCTATTATCAAAGGAGGCCCAGCGGATGACAGTCTTTTCTGGACTTAGTTTTCGCAAAGGACCTCCTGCTTATCTACAGGGAGCACCTTGGTGCTTTTGAGAAAGATGTGTGCAAGTTTTGCCGGTAGCAATCAAAGCTGTCTATGATTTTTCTACAAAAAAGTACAGTTACACTATCTTACTCACAAGCAAAGAAGTTTGGACTTTTTTTTTTGTCTTTCTTTTCTCAACCCGCTTAGAACAATTATTGGCTATAACGATGGCATTACGTCAGCCCTTGAATATTGTTAAGTGGACAGCACTGTACACATACCTACCCAGCGAGTGGTGAAAATACGGGCTTCAGAAAGGTTCTACAGATGGCACAACCACTAGAATCACTCTAAATCATGCAAGTTTTGCACTTCAGCATGAATTTTTTTCACCCCAAAATGAAGAGTGTACAAGTACTTCAGTAATGCTGCACTGTAAATGACAGTGAAAGGGTTTCAAATTTGTTCATGAATATCTTGAATTATGTGGAACTTGGGCGATTTCTGAAAAAATCAGACTCCCATAAATAGGCCCGTACAACTTTCCAAAATAAACAACTACCTTTAGAGTCAATCATTAAAAAGTTGATAATTTTTTTATTTAGTGTCGTCAACGTCATTTTAGCTGGGGCAAAGCATTTCCATCTCAGGATTGACTATGTGTATGAAAATGACTGGAGTATGACTGTCAATGAATTTTTATAAAAATGTGTACTGCCAAAAACAAAACACCCTGTTCACAGCTTTTCTTTTCCCACAGAAGCCTCTCCAATATTTTTGGGCATTCTGCAAAGCATTATCAGATGAATCAGCATGCTTCTGTAGGACGGATAATAGTTCGCATGATGCAAGCATGCATGATAACAGCAGCAAGGCGATGCTGACAGTACTATGAAAACAACGTAATGAGTGATCTTTTGCATTTATTTGCACAAAGAAACGTTACAAGTTAGAATATGTTCCATTGTGCCTAAGGCTGCTTACAAAAGTTTCAAGGGATATCTCTTCCATTGAGCACTGCCATCTTGGTGTGGTATTGAAGCTCATACTTTGCTCTTTCTGTTTCTACCCTCATTGTATACAACAGCTGTGCACAGAAAAACGAGTCAAGAAAATAAGGAATTATGATAAAGGCAGGTCTGATGAGGTTCGCAATATATGCAGACCTCCAATTGGCTGTGGCGATTGGCGCACATACATCACCAGCAGAGAGCTAGACTTTACACCTACTTTGAAAACTTCACCGATATGCCGCTTCATTGTAAAGCAACTTCCAGATGGTAAACACGGAGGCGCTGCTAGGAGACATTGGCCTCCAAATGCACAAAATGCACAACCCTCCAGCAAACAAGGCAGAACAAAATGAAGTCGAACATTTTATGCAATGTGGTACAATATCCGCAACTGAGCAAAGCCCTGTGGTCATGCGCTATGCGGAAGTCATGCGCTATGCGGGATAGATAAGCCAGAATGCTGATATGCCTGCACTCACTTCAGCACTTCACTGGCCTTGCTGCAGAAAGTTATAGGGCAGACTCTGATACTGTACCCAGAAACATAGCCTTTGAAAATGGTAATTGCCACTCGGAGAAAACTACCACTGAGATGTAAGCTCTTACTCCTAGATATGGGTGGTCCCAAAGAAGGCTGTTTTTCCCGCCTTAACTTGGTTGCTTAATTCTATGACCTTTCCCGGTGGCATAAAATCACCAGATTTTTTTTCCCATTTTTCTGGTTCACTCGTTCCCTAGATATCATGGAAATCTGTATTTTCTCTGAAAAACAGGCATGCTTATAGCCAAAAGGAAGAAAAAAACAAAAAAACTTTTTACTGCTGCCTCTGCAATATACACACACTTTCAGTGCACTTGATTTGAAATTACTAGAGCCTGCTTGAACATAAGTATGTTTTTCAAAGATGAGCTTGCTGATACAGTTGAATGCAAGAGGACAGTTGTCAAGCTGTGTACTATGTGGAAGTATGCACAAAGTATGCTCTGAAGTAAAGCTTCAGCTGCTCCAGAAGCTGCGCTCTAATGGCTTTGATCAATCACATCCCTGCTACAATGAAATCTGGCGAGTTCAGTGCAAACACAATGAAAAGGTGTTGTGCTCAAAATCCAGAAGTATTATTTGCAAAAAATCAACAAAAACGTTCGTGATGTCTTTCATAGATACACATAACGGCAGCCCATTGCACCAAAATGTCTGGTTCCTATTATACAGGGTATTTCACATGCAAAAAACCAAGAATTCAAGCACAGTTAGGCAAAATTACAGCCCTCTCACATGGAGCACCTTGAAACGATGATATGGAAGATAAAGGCTGAGGCAGAGGAGTGGACAACTCATCTGGCTTTCCTCGATGTGTGTGTGCACACCTAAACAACGCAATATGGCACGAAAATCTCTGCCGATACGCAGGATTTGTTGTAACAAGAAGCCGATTCTTCCTAGTTGTGTGCAAGACCAACTAGTATGCTGACATCACTGCCACAGAGCTTGATTGATTGATTGATTTGTGGGGTTTAACGTCCCAAAACCACCATATGATTATGAGAGACGCCGTAGTGGAGGGCTCCGGAAATTTCGACCACCTGGGGTTCTTTAACGTGCACCCAAATCTGAGCACATGGGCCTACAACATTTCCGCCTCCATCGGAAATGCAGCCGCCGCAGCCGGGATTCGAACCCGCGACCTGCTGGTCAGCAGCCGAGTACCTTAGCCACTAGACCACCACGACGGGGCACTGCCACAGAGCTGAATGTACCATAAGCACACATTCACCATAACAGGGTTGGTTATGTACACTTCATTCCTTCACCGCACACAGGCGTGGCGATGGAAACCTGCTTTTGTTCGAACTTCATGAAAATGTGAGGAAACTGTGCAGCACATTTAGCGGTTTCGCACTAACAGGTAGCATGAACGGCAGCAAAGCATGTTTGCGTGGAAAGGCTTGCAGTAAACTCGCAACTGCACTAGGATACATGCACAACTGAACAGATAGCTGAATGACTAACAGTTGGGCTTGTTGGTTCCCGTGCTCTGTGTTCATTCATGCCTTGCACTCTGTGCTTCATCTTTTTTTCTAGTCCCCACCTTCTTTGTGCAATTAAACACTTAGCTAGATGAAGTTGCTGATCATAAAGGGTTGTCCGTGATCAAGTTGTACTCGGGCATTTGCCGCATCACACCGTGATAGTACACCCTCCACATTTTCAGCTGGTTAATCCCAAATCATTTAGGCATTGCAGAAAAGCTGACTTTTAGACAATGCGACAGCCACATGAAGACCAGCTCATAAAAGCACTGGCTGAAGCCTATGAGATAACAGGTGGGGGCTACAACAAATGCATTTCCTGACCTTAAATTTGAGCAGAAGCTTCGAAAAATCGGATGCTGAAGAGTCTGTGTGAAAAATTTCAAACATTCTTAAACATAGACGTTCTATGAGGCTTGTGACAGTGCTGCGAGAGCATCCGAAATTTCACACATGTTGGAAAAATATGCAGTTGAAATACCCATATACTATGAAATATTTATAATTAGGTGTCCTGAAACTCGCATGGTGTCTTTCGGAGTTTATTTTCTTAAAGAAAATTCAGTGTATTTTAAAATTTATTTCTCGTAAATTTCAAATTCTCTGAAATTTGACATTAAAGTTATTGCAATATGCACTTTTATTTCCAATGAAAATGCATGGCGTTGTTGCCAATAATCTTGTTCCTTCATCCTTTTTCTTTTCACTTGTTTATTTACAGAGTTAATAAGGCTGTGGATCTGCACTGCTGTGAACTCACTAAAGTATACCTTCGACGGGTGCAGGAGCTAGTCGAGCCTGTTCTAAGGTTTTTCTACCAGTGTCTCTCGTCTTCTTCATGCAATATAAAGGGCCTATTATTATGTATTATTATTCTCAATACTCTATAATCTTAAAATAAATATCTGTACACGAATGCATGCAAACACACCAAGTCTATTTCAGATGTCTGAAAGGTTTGAACTCACAAATACACATACATTCAAATACCTCAATACGAAACACCTACGTTTGTTCACATTACAACCTTTAAGCTAGCTGTAACAAATGCGAACGTACGTTACGAGATTGCTGCCGCTGATGGAGAGAACTCCTTTCAATAGATGATTCTTGGCTTTGAACATACCCTTTCAACATTGAAAATGTCCTTTTAAAATTGAAATTTATCAGATAAATCTGAACTTTTAAAAGTTTTACCAGAGAGAGTTTATCCAAAAACACGGAGTCCGAATAATAATATTAAAAATAAAAGTTACAAGACTTAAATTTATTCTTAAATATTAAATTTGTTCAAACCAATCATTCTGGTGCTAAAACAGAAGTACTATTTCACTGACACCACTGTAGTACTGTCTAAGCAAGAGATAAACAAGCAGACAGTCATTCTACCGAGATGCCGCTGGAACACAGTTTCTGTCCAACTAGATCTATATCACTACATAATATATATACTATTTCCTACAGCCCAAATCCTTAAGCAGCAAGTAACAACTGTGCTCAGATTCAAAACAAGCACAGCTGCTACTTGAGCCTGCCTCTTGATCACATGGGCACTATGTTAAAGTGCCAGAAGTAAAATGTGAAGATCCGTACCTTTTCCTCGGAGGTATATCCAGTGCACCAGGTTCACCTGCTAGAAGATCCTTTGCTTCGCTTGAACTGTTTGAGTTCTCCTCAGAGGAACGCTTGAGCCGAGGTGGCAGCGGCGGTGGAGAGTCCCCGGCCCCAATTAAGAGCCTGCTGCTGCCTTCACCATTTTCACCGGCATATTTTCCACCACCCATTGTGTCCTCATCGTCACCTTCATCCTCATCATCTGAAGAATCAGTTGCCTCAGAATCGGAGCTCTCCTCAGTGATACCATTGCGCTCGGGACTTCGCTTTATCACCCGCTCATCAACTGTGGGGTGGGCATCCTTCTGCAAGAAAAAAAATTCCCCATTAGGCTTCTGATGCATTGACAAAAGACGCAAAGTGGTGCCTACCTGCTGGCAGCAGGACAAGGCCCGAGCGCCCTCCAGGATGGCCAGGTAGGAGAAGCGCAGCTGGTCTGGTGTCTGGATCAGACCCATGCGGTACTTGCGCATCTCCAGCAGCACTTCCTGCACGTCCACCCGGTCAAGGCGGCCCCCATTGGCTTCAATCTGTAAAGCATTTTGTCTTTGTTAAGACATCTTTACCACGAATTCCGCAAAAATTGAATAAGTGGGCATTCAATGTTAAGTTGCACAAGAAAATATGGGATGAACACACGGGCATCACGTGCTCCTTTTGAGAGCCAGATGATGCAAGAAAAAAAATAACAAGAGTGAAAATAACGCTCATTTTTCTTCGTTTCTTCCCACAAAGCGAGAGGCTGATTGCCTGCAAATGAAGATGTTTATATTCCTTTCAAGTATTGGTCCAGCCAGTTTTTGATTTGGAGCAATTTTTGGAGCAGGAAAAAGTCTGTTTTGGAGCAGGTTTGGAACAGCCAAAACGGGATTTAAAGATGACATGGAGGAAGACATGTCTAAATTTTCAGCAAAAATTCTGATTAGATTGCTAGCTGGAAATACTACTATGATGTAAACAAGAAGGCAAAGTAAACATCCAGAGAGGAGCCATTAATCACGTTCTCAGCACGAAAGTGTGTAACAGTCTGGCTTCACTGACAAAGCAAGCATAACATATATGGTTTCTGCAAATGACAGATATCACAAGGCCATTAAAAAATTATAACCGAAAAGTCAGCTGTCTAACAATTAAAGACGAGGAAAAAACTTGTAAATGAGAACATACTGTTTGTAATTGCCTGCATAGATAGCACATTCAATAATCTCCACAACTTACTGCATGACGCTCCATTGTACTCAATAAATATTTGAAGCATGAGCACCGACTGATATTCTCCTTTCACTAGCAAATACTTTTTGGGTGAGCACTTAATTCAAGTTTTCCAAATACTGAAAAAAAAAGGTCTTCTAAAAAGAAAAGTTTTACCAAGTAAATAGGTATGCATGGAGTGTGGTCAGTGATCAAAGTGCAAAGAGGGGAGGGGGTGCTCTTTTTCAAGGCAGCCTTGAGGAACACAAGTCTGCCTGTCAAAACATTGGGATTACCAAGACCTCATGTTCACGAATTTTGTGCGATTACTGGGTATGAGTCGCACAGTCGGTGATCAATTATGGCATCCCACAAAAAGGACAGATGACAAAGGAGAACAGATTGATAAAGTGAGAACAGTGCCGCAGGAATTTTGGGGGGGGGGGGGGGGGAAGAGAGAGCATCAATAGCTGAACAACCTTCCCCACAATCGCCACCCCTTGGATACACCGTCAATTCTGAAACTGGGTCCAGCAAGCACATTTAACCCCTAGTTCCTACTGAATCCGCTTCCTACAGCGAGCGAAATTCTCTTGTCGCCGAAACGCAGCGTCGTTCGCACTGGATGCGCATCGCACCGCCGCACTCGCCGAACAGCCATAGCGCCACCTGCCAAGTGAACCATGGGGCGAGCGCGGGGTGGATGCACTGTTCACTTGATGATGTCGGCGACTCGTAACTTCAGTGCGCCCGTGAAGAGTTAACCTTTTTGTTTTGCGTGTTCCAACTCAGAAGAGAAAGGCAACTACATATCAAGGTGATTGCGATTTAAGGAGCAAAGCAACATACGCAGAGGGACTCTTACTAACCAGTCCAATCTGAGCTCGTTTCCTATTTTACTCCACAAGTCGTCCTTTAGCAAGCTGTCAATGTGCTTTGCATCAATTCAATTAGCATTTCCACTAAGCACACGTTACTTGACTCTGACATGACAAGAGAGTCAGACTTGGCCGCCATTTTCTCACATTCGTCGACTAGTGCTCCTATTGGTTCGTGGCGAATCGACCTGACGGTAGACGCCGCGAAAATCGATCTGAGAGCAATCGGAAAGGAGAGAGCCCTTTCGGCAAATCTTGCCGCCACCGAATTGGAGGATTTGAAGCACTTTCGGGGGCCAGAATGCTCAGTGTGAATCAGCCTTAAGGGTTCGCTGCCCAAGTGCAAAAAACTAAGGTGACATCTCGTTTGGTCTTCATTAAGCCACTGCACAATGCAATTAGGTAGTCCGTGAGAAGTGGCTAGTGACAAGTTTACTTTTCGCCTTAGCTTACACTTCTCGGCAACATAACAATGTTAACACTAAGTGCCTTTGGTGAGGTCGTAAACGTTACAAAATGTTTGTTTTCTAGGGACCTCGCTGTGAGATTTATTTGAGACACAGGTGCTCTTATTTCGGTAATTTACAGTGAATCTGTCATTCTCCATAGTCAATAAATTATGTCAATGTGTGGGACTGTGATTGCAACCCCCCTCATAGGTGACTATGAGAGTGGCCACCCTCTTACCCCCCCCCCCCTTTGTACACGCCCATTGTTGTGGGATGAGTCACCTTTGGAAACCTCTGCCACGTACGTACTGGGTCTGGCAAAGCGTCACGGCTGCTACACGATTATTTTGCAGGTGCTTGTGCGGCCCGTATGTGCGAAAAAGCAAGTGAGAGCAGATGATATTCAACACGACATGCGTCACAGCCTTGTGTGGCCATGTGACCAAGCTACACTTGCACGTCAGCCGAATTCAGCACCCAGAAACTGAAACCAGAAACAGTCCACAAAAGAAAGATGAAATCAATTTATTTAGCGAAAATAAGTGAATCTTGATACATGTATCATGTTTCCTGGAGCTGTAAGAAACGCCTGCAGTAAAGAACGCGCAAGCCACGAAAATCGTGGCACCACCCCTTTAAGCACTACCCGCTGCAGTTGATTTATGTAGCAGTGTCCAGGCCGATCATCCTCGTGAGCACCAGTGCTTCATATCAGCGTACTGCTTTTGGTACATTCAAATCTCGTTTTAGCAAACCTCAGATTAATATTTTTTCAGATAAACAACTTTTTATAAAACCCCCCTACAAATGTCCATTGGTTTAATTATTCTAAAAATATTTCACATTCATAAATTCCATAATACCGAATATTTCAGAGTAACATATCGAATTTTAGTTCCATTATATCTCCACAACTCTTTCAACACTTCAAAGTCACTCGCGGCTGTAAAATCAATGCCCAGTTCTGTACCTGCCACTACCGCCATCATCAGAAAACCCGCGTATTTCTATCTGCCCGCCTTGTTCACATGGGCAGATAGAAATACGTGCCTGTTCACATGGGCCTTGTCGCCATAACCATTGCCTGGTACAGTTAAACCTGAATATAATGAGATTGATAAATTCTTGGAAAAATTCGTAACAAAGAGGATTTCGTTATATGCAGGTTCGGTACAAAAATTTGGAAAATAAACGCGCGAATTGAACAAAAGGGGGACTGAAGGCAGAGCTAACCCAAAACACTTATTTTACAGTAAAAAGCTGCGTTATTATGACGATACCAGTTATATGGACACTTGCGGCAAGTTTTTGCCGTTACCGCCATGTTCTGTAAGAAGTCCAAATTGATAATACATATGCCCCCGCGCATCCTAACTCTCACGGGCGGGTGAAAGCGTGCAAGCGCTGCTGAAGCAGAGATCAAATGAGTCAGCCCATCCCTATTGCCTGAAAAGTGCATAACATCACCGGCGTGTTGTTAGAACTGACGTCCCATCCTCAAACAGAAAGTAAACCACCCATCTTGAACAAGCAAGAAACGCAGGGAGGGGGGATCGCTTGAGTAGCAATAATGAACTTTGATTTTAAGGGCGGTCGCAATCCCTGGCGCACTTGCTATCTTGGCGAATATCAGTGCGGTTTCAACACGAAGGAACTGTGTGAAAAGAGCACTTCTCCCTAGGGCAGCCGTAAGCTCACACCAGCTTTTTGTAGGAGTTCCGCCACATCGGATCCAAAAGAGTTGGCTGCCAGCCTTACTTCTTATAAATTACATTTTTTTGCTATTGCGATCATTGCATTGCATTGCATTGAGTGTTGCCAGAACTAATCGGCCAATCGCGAAATCTACCAGCTTGCGAACTCGTAGCGCGGCGCAAAACGGATGCATGTGACGAGTCGACCTCTGAAGATCCGTCGTCACCGTGGTCTCAAAGAGTTTCCATCAGCGCCTAATCTGACATCCCCTCGGTGGTGAGGACACGGTTGTCCGAAATTAAGTCACAGTTTTGCCGCAAGGGCGAAGCAATGAATGCGATAAATGCGATAACAACTTGGAATGTAACGCGGCAAGCAGATCGAAACGTGTAGCGCGCTGCTCACGCACAAATGACGCATGAAAACAAACACAGGACGACAGCTAACTAACAACATTTACTGCTCGACACTTAACGCGCTGTTTAAACGAAAACGAGGCACGAAACGTAATTAGTGCAAAGTCACAAGTGCCTCAGTTGTTACTACGCTGTGGTAATTAAAAAGCGCACTCTTTTCGCAAATGGCGCCTGTCCAGCGAGTGAAGTGCTCTTTGTGAACCCGGAAACTAAACGCAATCGTTCTGGTCAAAGTCGAAGGCGCACGATTCTCCTACAGAGAGATAAGCGCTCCCGCACACGCATCTAACCCCCATTCCCATTAGCGCGGCCAACTACACGTGAGAGATAAGCGCGCGTCGGCGCACCGTGACGAGCTGGCGCCTAGCGCGGGTGGCTTTTTGTAAAGACGATAGTCTTTCTTGGCGAACTTCGACAGAAAAATTTTGGTCTGTCTGTCTGAACACTTGTCTGTTTGTCCGCCCTAACGATACCTCAAACGGCACCAAACGGCCAACCCCATCTGCAGCGCCAACCAATATTGCTCAAGGTTTAGCATTCATAGTTGTGCAATTGTCAATTAAAAAGCAATTGTTGCACATATCTGAGGCGCCACAACAACGCTTCGATGTTTTGTATGTCTGATTTATACTAGAAGAGGCACAAGTAACTTCGAGGAATGTAGCATTTAATAGCGCTGCGCTGACAGTGCTACGCGATGCTCCAAAAGGTGTTTCCAACGCTTTCCTACGATGTCACGGTGGTGGCACCTGCCCGTCGCTTTGCGTTCTACACCTTATCACCTCCGAGACTGGCGCGCACCTTTCTCCACGGTCTGCACGCCTTCGTTTTCGAAGATAACTGCCAGATGGCATTTCTGTCTAACATGCCTCAATGCGCTTGTTCGCCTCCGCTACACGCTCGAAGCACTCTAACGCAGCGCCTGCAGAATACCATTCACCGATTTTCTTGCACAGAACATCAAATAAACGTTTTGTTCACTCTCTCCAGACGCAAGACTATGGTCTTTCGACAACATTTGCGGTGTAACATGCAGATTTGGAACCAATTTTTTTTTCTTAAGTTTTCATATATATATATACACACAATGAATAACGGCGGCGGCAAAAAACCAACCGAGAGTGTCATATACATAATTGCTATCACACAAAAAAAAGCAAAGCTGAACATTATCAGGTGCCACACCATGCGCGCGCAGTGAAACTATGCATATGCGCACGGCGTCAAAAACCAAGAGCGAACGACACCAACACCGCGGAACAGAAAACTATTCGGTAAAGCGCCCTCCATATGCATCGCGGTCCCACAGATGTGACGCTACCTAAAAGCATGGATGGCACTGGCAACATGCAAAAGTAGTTTTTTTTTTTTTCTTTTTTTTTTTTAGGGGGGGGGGGGGGGCACACCCAACGGCGAGAACAGCAGCAACGCAGGCTCATGGGGTTCAGGCCCGCCTGCCCGCCTCACGCCGCCGCTTCGCGCTTGGTCGGCGGCGGGACAGCCGCGAAAGATACATACTCTTACTAAAATGACAAAATGCGGAGCGAAATTCCTGGATTTTCCGTGGGGCAAATTCGTTATGTCAAGGTTGTCTCCCGCTGTTGCTTTGTTATATAAAGGTGGCAAATACATGTGCTTCTATGGAGCGACAGCCGGGAATAGAAAAACTTCGGTATATCGAGTAATTCGTTACATGGAGGTTCGTTATAAGCAGGTTTAACTGTACTTGCGTTTCGAGTAAGGCTTTAATTCGTTGCCTTTGTTTTCGTCAGACAGCTTGGCCTGCACACTTTTTCCATGGCTGTTTCCTAGCATTTTGGTTCACGGTTGAATGTTTGAAAATGAGTTCTGGAAGCAGCCCGAAAGGATTGCTACGATAATAAAAAATGCTACGCAAGTGGCCTGTACGATAAAGTCGCCGATGACTACCCGTGCATGCTTCACTAACGCTCGAACACTACACACGGTACGACCACGAAGCATGTATGCGAGCATCGTTGACTAATATGACCCATATACACCAGAACACAGCAAGCTCAATGCTTGGTGCCATATTGAAAAGCATGTGGTGCCATCTGTTGCAAGCGTGGCGAAACAACACCCTCAACTGCCACGCGAGCAGACGCTCTGCAAATCAAACACGAAACTTCACAACCCGAGTGCGGCTGTAAGCGTGTTTCGCGCTGTTCCTGTGCTGGAATTTTACGCTGATTTCGTGTGAAACATCGAGGAGACCTTTCTTGACAGTCCGAAGTACCTGCAGCATGTGCATTGCAGACTTCGAAAAGTAACTTCATCAGGTACGTATTATTCGAGTGAAAGAAACTCTAACAGCGTTAACTGCGGTGTGCCTTGGCTGTGACAAAGCAGAATTTGTGCTGCAAGCCGGCATCAATGTAGCGCTAGAATCTGGCTCCAACTTATGCTTATGCGCCACATGTGTATCAATTGCCAGTCCTGCCGAGCACTCGGAACGCACACGTGGTGCGAAAGTGCCAGCCAGAACAAGATTTCAAAATGCTACGGTGACGCCGGCCCAAAGCACATGTAGATTCGCCTAGTGACTGTCAAGGCATGTCGCAGTTCGACTGAGTCGAAAGTCATACTTTACACGCAGTTCACGCATCGTGATAGCAGGCCGTTACGGTTGTACTAAACATGCGCGGTGCGTGCATCCACGCGCGAGTCGTAATACGTATATCCTATTATTAATATGGGGCCTACGAAAGAGTTTGGCAATAGTTTTGTGCCGCATACTACAGGCATACTGCACACAAATCGCTGCTGTAAAATGAAACAGCTGGAGTCACGCTTGAATAGACACAATAAGTTTACTTACTCGTACACTTCACTGGGCTCGTAGTTTTTCCTGCCGATTGCGATTATATTCTATAGGCCGGCAGAGCTCAGTGTTTTTCGTTTTGGGACGGGACTCTGTGCGATCACGAAACACCGCACTGGCACGAGTCTTGCGATGCGCTGCGAACTTCACAGGCAGTGCTCAACGATCTCTTCCTCTTGCGCTGGTTGTTCTCGCATCAGATGACAGCACAGTGGTGCCCAAATGACATTTTATAAGTCTTTTATAAGAGCGATTGATTGATATGTGGGGTTTAACGTCCCAAAACCACCATATGATTATGAGAGACGCCGTAGTGGAGGGCTCCGGAAATTTCGACCACCTGGGGTTCTTTAACGTGCACCCAAATTTTATAAGAGCGAGACATAGGCGTGCTTTTGTCTATACATTCACTGTGATAACAGAACAGCAACGAGTGCAAGGACGATGCTGAAACAGAGCACGCCAATCAACGATAAGAAACGGTATTTAACGCCAACGCTTCGCAGTGCATAAGAAGGATTTGTACGCTTAAGAGTTCATATTTGAGCAGTCGAGCTGCTCACATCAAGATAGGCTGCGCTCTTTCTCAAATAAACATGCACTGGTTCTGAAATATTTCATGTTTGTTTTTTCTCACTTATTACAGCATAACGTGGTTGCAAATGCATACACAGCACAAGTAGGCGACTCACATGTTTTAATTCACATTTTTTGCGGATATTTTTTAAAACTTTCACTACAACAACTTTTTAAAATAATGCGCACCCGGTTTCCACGACGAAAAAAAAAAGCAAGACATCGATTGCAACACGCACCCATTTTTCTCGTTGGCCTGCACGATCACACCACTCGAAAAAACGATTCCTTTCGGGAGCGTCTTCCATTTAAATATGAGGTACGGGCGAAGCTTGTACCCATCTGACGTGTAACAGAGCATTGCCGTCACTGTAGTTTTACCGTGGACCGATGTCAGCACGCGAACTTGCTTTGCCCCCTTCTTCTCGACGGTTGTGGTGCCAGGCATGTCAAAGTAAAGAGGCGTCTGATCGGCATTCCTGATTTGCCCAAGCAGGTAGCCGTTGTTGTGCCGCAAGTTTAGGACAAACCTCTGAAAACTGTGAAGCTTTTATTCGTACTCTCCCGGAAACTTTTCGCATATGCCCGTTCGCCTTCGGAGGGAAAAGCCTTTCCTCTTCATAAAGTTAGTTAGCCAGCACCTGCTCGCTTTAAACTGGCTCCGCATTAGCCCTTTTTTTAAGGCTAACTGCGTAGCCCACACTTGGAGCAGTTCTGTCGTCACAGGTCGCTGTGCCGCTCGCTGCTCAAGCACATACTCGCCGAGCAGCTCTTCAATTTGCGGAAAACCAACCCTGCAGTGGTCCACTGAAGCCTTTGCGTGAAGCTTTGCTGTCGACAATCTTCTGCTTTTGTTTCCGCCAGTCCCGCACGCACGTTTCGGGAACTCCGAACGACCACGATGCGGCCCGATTTCCGTCCGTTTCTGCACACGCGATGACTTCCCTTTTAAAAGCGGCATCGAGGTGCACTCGAGTTTTTAGAGTCGGCCCTTCCATACCGTCGATGCTAACGCACTACAAAATGACGAACTCCTCAGCACACGTACGAAGTGCCGCACACGGGAAACACATAGGCAGAAATGGCCGACGCGCCATGCCGACGCACGGTCGGCCATTTTGGAAATCCCAATGGCAATAGAATGACCCCATCCATTTTTTTTTTTTTTTTTCGCGCTCGATTCTAACGCGCATGCGATTTATGAACTCGCTTAACCGGAAAAAAGTGCACGTTAGATTCGAGCAATTACGGTAACATATAATTTTTTGCGGTCCCTTGAGATTCATTGTATCGAGATTTCATTGTATTGCTAATATCCATGTTGCTCTTGGCATCCCTACACAACTGTAAACAACTGTTTATATACAACATAAGCGGCTGTTTAACATGCGTCTGTGCGTGCATTTCTACATCATCTTTAGCACCACTTTGTAACATTTCGCACAATAAAAAAAATATACAACACAGTCACCTTCCATCCGCATGCTTCGCATAACATCGATTCCCAAGGTACATAGGATTTGCCATATTTTTAAAATTATTATTATTACTAGAAGATGCTTGCACGCAACCTACCGTATTTATAGGATTGTAAGTTGACTCGAATGAAGGTCGACCCCCCCCCCCTAAAACTGTAGGAAAGAAAAAAAAAGAAGTATAAGCACATAACATGACAAAAACTTATGTCGCCTCCGAAGTCGAATTCTAGTGTGCCAAAGTGGCTTCACGGCAATTCTTAAAAGCTGTGAAGGAAAGCTAGCTTCACGAAAATACATGGGGATAATATTTAGAAGGACTATAAGACTGAAACTAGTTTTCGTTCTCTGACAGCCCCCCAACTTCAAATTTTAAACAAAGACAGAATGTGTCTACCTACAATCACGTAAATACAGTAGCACTCACTGCTTATGGGCGACAATATCTCCAGCTGGCCAAATTATGCTCCCCACACTGAGAACTAAATGCCACGTACCACGATTACACCTGAATGTTGCGTTCAACAGCAACTATGCAGCAAGGCGAGCACGAGCATCCTACCTGTGACAAAACAATTGCAGCGCCAGCCTCTCCAGTAGAGGCCCTCAGGGCTGATAGTGAGAAAGATAGGGCGAGTGGTGTCTGTTATACCCAATTGTCCATTACATCAGTGTCTCATATCAACAGATTCATGCCAATGTGGACAACAATAATAGTATAACAAGTACAACCTGACAGATTAGCACAGCAAATCCAAGCCCACTTTTGGGGTTTCAACCATGGTAGCAGTATTAAAACACAGAAAGCCCCGTTTATCTCCAGTCCATAATTATATGAAAGTATGTACTCACCAGTACAAGACAAGAGTCCACCAGGCAAAAGGTCCCCGAACGGCCAATGCCTGCACTGCAATGCACCACAGGTGGCCCAACATCTACGTCCAATGCCCCAGACTCCCGTACAGCTTGCAGAAAGGCCAAGAATGCTGCTGGAGACTCGGGCACCCCAAAATCAGGCCAGGTTGTATAGTGCAGGTGCAGTACCACACGTTTCTGCCCACTCTGCAATGACAAGAACACTTTGTTACACTACAATGTCTTTTTCAAGATGACCACATTTTTTCTTGAAGTCTGTACCAAATGACTTGATATGTAACATAATGAAAGTGAAGCTGACCTGTCGCCTGTCCCCTAAAGCAACCTAACCATACAAACGCCTTTCTCAAATCAATTTGAGAAGGGCATTTATATACGTACAGTTGAAAACCCACAATAATGAAATCGGCGGAAGAAAAAATAGCTTTAGCAGGATTTTCATTGGCACGAGAATGCAGCAGAAAAGACAGAAAATTGACTAAAAACATTTTATTGCCAAAAGTCGATATGCTTACTTTGCTGAGCCTTTCCTGCTGTTAACAAAACCATGCAAACACCACTTTGTTCATGTCCAGGAACAGTGCAGGTGTCAGTGTTTCTTGCTCTTACAATGTTTTCAAGCGCACCAAGAACGTAGGCCTTGTTCTTGAATCATAGACAGTGAACTGCATGCAACGCCGAATTCAATGGCAATGCCGATTTTTTTCTCTGCCCTTTTCCACCTCAGTGATAATTGCAACCTTGTCTTCCACCGTAATGAACTTTCGCTTTTTAGTTGGAGGCGGCACCTTTGCGGGCGGACAAATCAGACTAGGATCACTACACGAAGTTCACATCGCACCAAGCCGACACAGCGACTACTACCGCTCCACACACGCAACTATGTGCGACAGCAACAAGTACGCAAAGCATATGCCGCTAATCCGACAAAGACAACGAAACTCCACGTGGATGTCGATTTGGCTACGTAGTCCGTAATTACGAGTCAGCATAACAAGCAGGTGTTTGCATGCCAACCCATTAAAGGGCCAGTAAACAGGCTCCGGCTTTTTTTTTTTTTTTTTTTTTTTTTTTTTTTTTTTTTTTTTTTTTTTTTTTTTACAACCCCCCAAACAAGCTCTCCAATTCGTACAGTATACCACGATGATCACACTTACCGAATATGAAAGGGGCTCTTCAACACTATTGAAGCACCTTTTTTTATTCGTGGTTTACATAGACTGATAGCTGGAGATCATCTTAGCATAGGTCTAAACGCCGATATCAAATTATTTAGTATTTTAATCACGCAATGAAGTCGCCATATCTACATCGCTGCCGACAGCCTCACCACATAGTGGCGCTCGCCAGAACTTTGCGAGCAGAAATGACGCCGGAAGCTTGGGCGCCATATGATTGGATAAATGCAACGTTGGAAGCAATATTAGTGTAGGATCAAAACCGAGGTTACTAAGCTGTTTCATTTTTATTCTCTCTGTTTTTTCATCGAACCTTCGAACAGACGCGGCAAGAACAACAACAAAAAATAAGCCACTGCAACTACAAAGCATGACAGAGACGCTGGCTGCCATTTTGCCACTAGATTCATCGCTTGCGCGGGTCCGATATCCATCTCTCTCTCTCTTTCGTCCCTCTTCTTGCTCTTGGGAGTTTACGAGCTGTCTCTTTCCGCACGTGCGCTGTTGAAGGTGTGCAGTGCACCATTGTTGTTCGTCGGGCGGCTCAACGCGCGAAGGGTAAACACAACTTCGCTGTCCTGGTCGTTCCAGAAGTTCCTTTCTCAGAATAAGAGGAGGGAAAGACTCGGTATGTTGCAGAAAATACCTCGCTTCGACACACTAGCTCTCGCTCACGTTCTGGCAAGCCAGGCGTCAGGCACGAGGTCTATATTACTTTGGAAAAAAAAAAACAAGTAAGAATAGGGTGCAAGCTTTCCCTATGTAGGCGCTTCCAGCTTATTTCATTGGGGCAGCCTTTGAGGTCATGGCGAGTGAAATGCGGTGAAGTGACCCCACGAAAATTTGAGGGATAGAAACAGTTGAGGGATAGAATTTTTTTCTTGTATTTTGAATTTTCTGTCGAATAAATTCAGACTACGTGCTATTATCACTGCTGTTCTTGCTGCATTAGTCTGTCTGTACTTTAGTCTATACATAACCAACGAATAAAACATGGGTGCACAACCAACGAATAAAACATGGGTGCTTGAAAAGTCTTAGAGGGCCCCTTTAAGGGGAGACACTGGTCTGAATTTTGTTTTTAATTTTCAGTATTTTAAGCTGAAATTTTAATACAATATGTATTTTTCACAGCTGAAAACAAATATGCAATTAGTTTTTTGCTATCACTTTTAGATTTTTAAATATTGACTGTTACATAAACTTGCATTCTGCCCAACCTTTTGACATCTTTCTCATAAAATATTGCTACAAATTTGATATGACAGCATTCCATGAAGGCCAGGGAGTGCAACAAAACCATAATTTTATTTTTAGCTTCATTGGTACCAGAGTTATGGCCTTAACAAGTATACTCATTAGAAATCTGAAACTGTTGCTTAAGTTTGTTGCTAATTAAATCACTATTGAAAAATAAAAATATTATATTTTTTTGGTTTTCTTGCACTAATCAATGTATAAGCTTTCAAATGCTGCAAGAATTATCAAAATCCGACTGCTACATCAAAAAGATACTGTGGGCAATGGCTTAGGATGTTGTTTTGAGACAACGAGAAAAGTTTAGGAACATGCTGAGCACTTATATTTAACAAGAAAAGGTGTGAGTCGGTATATTAACCATGTTAGAAGTCACCAGGAATGTAGTCATCATCATTCTCCTTGGTGCGCTTTCTTTTCATGGCATGCTTGAAGTTTTCAGCATGCTCATGCTTCTTCTCCGATGCCACTAGTCGGCGACTGTCCTTTTCCGAGCATCTTTCAGCGGCCACAACACTCTGCTGCAGGTGCAGCTCCTTCAATATGGCGGCATCTGCTCTCTCTTTGCCAGCGTTGAACCTTGCGACAGCTTCGGCCACAGCAAATTCAACGGTGAAAAGCGACGCGTGTTCGTTTTTGGACACGAGCGACCAGATGACGGAGTGCAGGCTCTCGTTTGGGTTCTGTGTTTTGCCTCGCTGACAACGCTCCAGCAATTTCTTGTCAGAGAGGTGCGTGTAAATAGGCCACAAGGCATCAACCACATACTCCGGCAGGTTGTAGCAATGATTCGGAGGAGTCTCCTGCTTGGCAACAGCCTTGTTGTACTTGCACCATGACTCTTCACCAGTTGGGCAGTGAGAGTGCTGAGGGCTTGCATCAGTAGATGCTACGTGATAAAAGGTTGCCCAGACAGCATTATTCATGGCCTCAATGCTTCCTTGGTTGCTTTGTAAAGCCCATCCATATAATGACATGAGCTTTGTGACCAGCTCGCCTGTCAGTTTGCCCTTGCCGCCAAGGCTTGGCTTTCCTTCAGCTCTTTGTTTTTGCAGGAGGTTTCGAAGTGCTGTGCCCATGCGCTTATGCACATGGTTGACACAGTCCACTTTTTCTATTGGCACGAAGCCATATACCTGTGCCTCCTGCAGACTGTTGAAGGCCCGGCTGTCTCCATCACACAACATGGTTGTGTAGCGGAGCCCATGTCTCTCCAATGAGCGGCCAAATAAAATTTGTGCTGCTTCCACCTCCATTTGTCCTGGCTTACTGGAGGTATTCTTTTGGCAAGTGTGACCTGCTAGCCACTCGGCATACCTTGGGTTGTCCTCCTTCGGCCCTAGCTGGCAGCCCAAACAAAAGTTCGATAGGACGACGAAGTCGAGCACATAACCCGTGAATAGTTCAATCACGGTCCCTACACAAACATGGGATGAGTGGCCCCTGGTCAGCCAAGTCCCATCAAAGGAAACGGTGATATTTCCAGGATTTCCAAAGTTGAGTTCGGAATACACCGTTTTCACGGTGCTCGCGCAGTCAATAACGCGCGCAGCAGCCTTCTGTGCGGCAGTGTTAATTTTCAATTTCTCATAATCCTGGTATGTCTTGGTGTGCAGGCCTCTCCGTGAAATATTTAGGGCGGAAAAAATATTGTTGAGCACAGTCTGCCCGTTTCCTGTGCTCAATGCCACGCGAACCGCGAGCATGTTAATTTCTAAGGGGCCGTGCACTGCGTCCCCCCCTGCTCTCGGCGAGCTCCATACGGTCCTCAGTTTACCACACTCGTCACATGTGAGAACAAGTTTCGCCGCTACGCCATATTCGCGGTCTTCCTTGGAGATTCTGCCAGGCCCGCCACACACACCGCACTTCATACACTGAAGAAGTTCGTTGACCAACTCTAAGCTAACGACAGTGAACGGCGCACCAGGCGTTGCGGCTCCATCCGAGTCTCGAAAAAAAGACCGCTTGCGTTTTGTGGCAGACTTCGATGAAAGATCTTCCAGAACATCGCTCGCACGACACTCGGTAGCCACTTTTTCAGCGTCAGAAACCAAGGGAGTGTCGACGCGCACAGCTCTCGTGTGATCTTGGGACGCGGCTATCGCGTCCGCGATCGCGAGTGCCGCGGCGGTGATAGCGCTGGCACAGCCTGCTTCTTCAGAGTTCTCGGCGGCAGAAGGTCTCGCTGGTGATAAGGTGCGGGCTCTCGGACGGCGTTTTTGCCTTTTCCGAATGCATGAGCACTCCGGAACTTCAGATGACCGCCTGCCATTGCACCGAATGCACAGCCGTTGTTAGGCCTCTACGCAAAATGGCGGCTTGCACGCCGCTGTCTAGCGGACGAATCCCTTCGCGTCCAATAGGAAACTGGGAACTGCCCCACGTGACAAAAACGCACCAATGATGTGCGAGCATTCAGTTTTTTTTTATGCGCGATAGCTGCGTTGTTGCTAGATGAAAAACGTTCTTCTGCAAGGAACAGATAATAGAAAAATGCGTCTTTAAAATGAGACCAAAATGGCCGCGCTACTTGGTGCGGTTCTCGCGCGCTGCGGCGTTGAATACGACCGTTTTTTGAGGTGGTTTCGGAAGTGAAAATGGTCATCAAACTGACTTTGCGACCCAATAACTCGACAAATACGCATGTCACACCTGTCCCGTTTATTAGGGAGGCGATCGCCGGGCTAATTCCAAGAGCCGAAGTATCGGCCCCCCGAACCGCACCACGAAAGCGTGGACAATTTAGAA